CCTTAGCCACTTGAGCCACAGGCGCCAAGCCTGGTTGAGGTTTTAAGAGAATTAACTTCTGAAATAGATTCTTCTTGAGGGAAACACCTGTTGAAATGATGAACTTCTGGAAGATGGTTTTATGGCACATTCACCTTTTTATTATGCTGAGTGTAAAGTAAGATTACCTCTCTTAAAGAGTCTTACTGACTTTGACTTTCTCTCTTAAATCTATTTAACTTTCAACCTACTGAGAGTTTCAGAGATATGCAAGGTTAGCATATGACACCTGATTATGTACTCAACTATCACACGATTATTCGATCAGTGACAAAGCATTTCACATTTCACAATGGAGCGCTGGCTGAGTCTTTAGAAAAGCAGCTACTTATTCATTGTATTTATTTTGAGTGATATGCCATTTCTTTCATTCTCTCACACACTAACAACATACATACCTGGTCATACGACACTGGTGTCTGCCTGTGATTTGAGAGCTCTACTAATGTACTAACGTCTGTCCGAAGATCAGATTTGCAGCCGACCAACAGCATTTTGGTATTAGGACAAAACTCCTGGATTTCACCTTTCCACTATGAAGAGAAATACAGACAAACAATTAACAAAGCACTGCTACCTACAAAACGGAAACAATTTCTCCACTGGCAAACACTGAAAATAAATTCCTAAAAAGGACATTAAAAAGAAAATGTCACGTCTGATAAAAAGGAAAACTTACATTTATCTCCTGAGTAGATATTAAGTTTTACTAGTTTTGAAAATGGCCCCATTAGCAAATGCTTATGTATATTATTATCTGTTCTCCTTCTCTGTGACTCATGTGTCCCCACTATGAGAGACTTGTTGAGTGTTGTCTGAAGGTAGCTTCAACAATTTCTTAATTACTGGGGTAATCTCTGAAAGATAAAAGTGCCTTAAGAGTAATTATATATCCTAACGAGGGACTGACTACATCTTCAGATACGCTGAGCTGACACTCTGCAGCTAGAAGGCTGGAGTAAGGCAGCGCCAACTTCAGGATGTCTCTGTGTTCGCCAATTCCATCCAGAAAGACAGAAGTCTGCCACCATGGGCTGGAGGCTCTATTTAGGTACCCAAGGTAGAGGTAACAAAACAGAGCATCCTGCCTTGAAGGAGCCTTCATTCATGTGAAGGAATCAGCACAGACCATAACATTTGCAAAGAACCATTTCCTGGGCTTTCAGGCAGGTATTTAGTTCTATAGCTCATATACCACTGAGTTAGTTTTTAAGTTACACAAACTGTTAAATGTTTAAATCTAGTCCAATTTGGCTACTTGTTCCTGGCAGTGAATTCCAATTGCCCTCTTTCTTTAAGAGAAAGGGGGTGACTTCTGTGGATTCACTTCCTCCAGCCTAGATGGAGTGAGGGGTGCAGGGCATTCACAGGAGAGCTCTGGGGCTTGCAGGGCAGGGCCTAGGGAGGCTGTGATGGGGAAGTGGAGCCTGGTTCTTCCCACCCACACTCATAAGTATGCATTAAGTGCTCTACTAAGTATTGTGGTGGTGACAAAGATGATTGAGGCATAGCTAGCTGTGTCTTCCAAAAAGGAATTCACAGAACAGTGGGGGGCAAATACCTAGATAAGGTCATTTAAGACACCACTAGAGGAGCTATTTCCAGAGCTCCAGGTATGCTTTGGGCAATGAACTCTAGTTCAAAGTACATCAGTGGATTGAAGGGAGTAATACCCTTTCCTTACGGGCCTAATTTTCCCACTGATTCCTTCTTTCCAGAATCATGTTGGAGCAAATCTACCATATACCCATGGCACTAGAGTGAGAACTAAAAGGTGAACTGAGAAAAAGAGTAAGAAATCCCTCCTGCTTCAAGTCACTCTAACCTCTTTGATATTCAAGGACTTAAAGAATTCAATTAATGAAGACGAACCACAGCAGGGGTTATTATGAGCCTTAAACCTCCCAGGAATGTAAAACACACTCATTAATATCTATAAGGCCAAAGTCACTATTCATTTGGTCTTGGAAGACAAGAGCAAAATAAAACAGGAGAAAAGCTTTTCATCATAAATTATGTATAACCTGATACTACATCAAGTAAAAACTCCAGTAAATAAGCAACCTCTTTCATCTACAGACAGAACTAGACATGCTGCTGTGTTGCTCCTCGGCTGGGTAATGGCTTTGGCCTCCCTCTGCATGTCTGGCAATTGTTTATAAGCATTAAAGACAGGAAAGGTGTTTTCCTGCCTGAATTTGACAAGCCTTAGCATTATTTGTGTTAGATAAACAAGTCTAACACAAAGGAGTTAAAAAGTGAAAAAGAGCCTTTGATCTATTAAGAAAGTCATGTTTTATTGAACTCTGTAAT